GCCACAGATCTTTTTGGCTACTAAGAAACAATGTTTTAAGGGTTTGAGAGATTATTGTTTAAAGTTATTCAGGGACTTCCTGACAAATTAATTATATTAATATTTGCAGACTTTGTTCATCTATAATTGATATGCCCCAGGAAACCATTTGCTACCGAAAGAATCTCTGGTCATATTTCCAAAGACGCATCTTTATTTAATCCCTCCCTTCCTTAGCCTTCACTTATACCCATGATTATAGTGTCTCAGCAAAAGGCTCTATTTGGCAAGGTTTGAACATCTTCAGCTCTGACTGACTTCAAATAAAATTGAGGATATTGCATTCAGAGGGACCAGGTCCAGAAGGATATTCCCAAATATCTGTTTTCCATTTTATCAAGCATACTGAACACACCAAATCCTACAAACAGCATAATCAGTCAAAACAAACTAAAATAAATGAACTGTACAAAGAGAATTGTGTCCCTCCACTCAACTGCATGGATCACATGAATGTATATGTAAAGTATATGTATATGAATGTGATCCTATATGAATATGTGTACATATACAATCACATGAATGTATATGTAAAGTACCCACATTACCTTCCCATGAAGAAGTTATTTTAATTTTTGCTGGAATTGCACCATATTAAAATATGTTCTTTGAATGTAACACAAGATATTAAGAAACAAGTCATATTAATGAATCTTCAGCTCATGCTAGGTAGAATCCTAATTTATAAGACTACTTGGTTTAAATTCATCAAAACACCAGAACCTCAGGCTCATATCAAAGGGATCCTGTCAATGTCAAAAAACAGAAGCTTAAAAATTAGATCTACCAGTGTTGTGGCTTTCTCTATCAGAACATACACAAAGGTTGCATTGCTCCCCCTTGCTATGCAGCTCCATCCCATTTTGGAACAAAACTACTGCAAGTATGCAGAAACCCTGCCCTTTTGGCATTTCTGAGAATAGGATTCTTTTATACCTCCACAATGAACGTGCTGACAAGAAGGAAAGCAGATGGGCAGAACAGTGCAACTGGTACAACTGATACCTGTGACAGGAAGGCAGGTTGTGGCCGTGTTGGTCTAAGGACATAGGCAGGCAAGAACCTTGTCTGCCTCTGAAAGGAAGAAGCCCATCTCCTGGGTTTCTAATCACTTAGGATCACCCAGTGGAGAAGCTGGATTCTAACCAGGTTGCAATTCTCATGTCAGTAAATTGATACCTGTTTGAGAATTAAGAAAAGAGTTGGGTTGGGCTTTTTTGTTTTATATTTTTAATACATAAATGCAGCTCCTTTGATACTGATTTTCCTAAACAGGCATAAGTGGCATTATACAAAAGCACAACAACCACCTTTCTGAGCCTAGCAGGTACAACATACTAAACAAATGAGGTTGTTTGTGCGACTTTTTAAAACAAAAAGAAACAATGTTTTTCTTTCAGGAAT